GAGAAGTACAAAGTCAAATCACTTCTTGACCCAGAAATCACCTTGACGGGACCTGCTGGGCACAAACCAAATAAGCCTATGGTACATCCGCATACGAGCTTCGATCCGGACGGCTCTGGTGAACCTAGTCCCCATGACTCAGATACTGAAGCAGATCGCGGCGACGTTAAAAAGGCTCAAAGTCTTTCACTGACCATGACTGCAATAAGATCTACGCCAACGACATCACGCTGCGTACGTACAATACACCGTGGAGATTTCAAGAAGGTTCAACAAGAAGCCCGCGAGAACCAACGCCGTACCAGGAAGTATCTTGTTGCAACGGATCTCAGTGATGAGGCAGCACATGCTTTGGAATGGACTATTGGGACAGTATTGAGGGATGGCGACACAATGCTTGCTATCTACTGTGTTGATGAAGAGCTTGGAATTATAACTCCTGATAACAGCGGTGATGATGCCCAGATCAAGCAGCAAATATCTGCTATTGCTTCGGCTCAAAGATCTGCTAGAGCATCTCGCACCAATACCCCCTTACTGACGCCTAGTCTAGGACCGGGTCAACTAAATCAAAGCTTCAGATTAGATACGTGCAGTAGAGCGGCCAGTCCAATGGGGAGAGACTCGAGAAGCAAAGCCGAACAGGATCGATTCCGAGCCGTAGAAGATATCACGGATAGAGTATCGGATCTTCTAAGGAAGACGAAGCTACAAGTACAAGTCAATATCGAAGTTCTTCATTGTAAAAATCCTAAGCACTTGATCACCGAAGTGATTGACTACGTCAACCCAACCCTAGTTATATTGGGAAGCCGTGGGAGAAGTGCTTTGAAGGGGTACGTTTCTAATTCTATCCACAATCTTCAAGAAAATCGAAAGCTAATGATGGGCAGTGTCATTTTGGGATCATTCTCTAATTATTTGGTTACAAAATCATCAGTCCCCGTCATGGTTGCTCGAAAACGTTTACGAAAACATAACAAGCAGAAGCGCACTCCTCACATACGTCTCGCAAACAATCTTACCAATCCACTAGTCAAATCTTTGGCCAGTGCGAAGATTGACTGATCAAGTAGACGATGTGATTTTTATTCAAGGCAGGTGGCGTTTGGCTGAATTTGCTCTTTTTTTGCTTTTTCTCTGTTTTGACTGCTGGAGTGATGCGGTGCACATACATGCACTTCTGCTGTACCTACCAATGCGGCATCAACTCTTGAAATTTTGTTAGGAGAGCTCGGCGTTTATGGGATCGGAATGGAATTGAAGATATGGGACATCGGGTGGCGATTGCAAATATGGCTTGGGAATCTGTGACAAGGGACTTGCGAAAGAATACTAAGTATTCAACACACCACTCTTTAGCGAATCTTTTCTTCCTCGTGAATGAGGAACGCGGAACACGGCATGGAAATCGGAATGAGATAGTTAGTAGCTTATTAAGTGGCACAATTAATTATACATACAAAAGATCGCTTTCCAGGTTCTCATTCGGAAAAGATGAATTAGCTCTTACTCATTGTGTCAAATTCGAATTTATTCACACTTTCAAGGTGGATGGGTAGTCGGCCCATGAATTTGTAGTAAAATCTGAATGTTCAAGAGCGATAATATCTAGGTATATGATTCTTTTGAGAGGTTTTAATTCTTTCTCGTAGAAGCTAGCCAGCTAAGCACAAATCGCAACATTGAAATTTCAGCACATAGAGTAGTACCTAGCCATACACAATAAACCATCCATCAATACAGCACGAACCCATCTAGCAACATGTACAAACCTATCTCGCACAACTTGAATCACTGCATACCCGAAAACATTCTCTGGAACATACCCTCCAATCTCCCTGATGGATTCATGTTACGTTCTGGCAAGCCACAAGATTTAGCCACAAACCCATATTCGTAGTCATTCCTGCATATTTTCAATGGCTCAATCTCTTCCTCCATGCAATCCATAAACTCTCCATCGCCAAAAATCTCATTTTGGGCGTGTGCATATTCGAATACCTTTTCTAATACTGCTTCGACCTTGTTCTCAAGGGTGTTGCCCCATTGAAGATAATTGCTGGTTACCGGTGGCCATTCTCTCGTTTCTTCCCATACTTTCAGAACATTTTTTCTCGTGGGTGGCTTGTTGGCTTTCAAGCATGTTGCAATATAATTGAACATATTAGCGAAACCTTGACGGAGTGCTTTGTTTGTCTTGAAGTTTTGCTGGAGATTTGGATGAACGTGTTCGACAAGGGTTTCTTGCAGCCATAACCAACCGACGCCGTCATCTCCGAGACTCATGTGGATCGAATCATTCAGAATTTCATAATGCGTTTCGGCTTGGAAAAGAAGTGCCAGCTTCATGCGCGGCGATAGAAAGCCTCCGATGCACTCTCCACAGGTGCATCCACATTTAAGCTGTAGTAAGAGATGGGTATCCGATGGATTCGTGGGCATCGATCCGGTCAGTAGTACAAACTGGCAGTTGGTAGCGTCGGATGTGAAGCCAGCAAAGCTGTCTGAGATGACAACGGTCATCATTCCACGTTCGCGTCGTGTTCTGATGATTTTGAGTTTATGCTGTAATGCTTCGAGAGGGGTATATCCGTCGATATTACGAGCCGATGTCAAGGACTGCTTTTCGTTCGCATTATCCATTAGCCACTGTGCGCTTTGGGGGTTGAACTGGCATGCCGTGATGTGTAGCAAGGTATTGTTGAGACTATCAACTTGCTTCCACTCCTTTTCATCTTTGACACGGAATGTCTTGTAGAATTTTACGAGCTCAATATCAGGAAGAGAAACAGCCGCGAAGTTCAAGAGTGTCAGTCTCTCCTTCAATTTCTTTAGTCTCTTTGCTTCCAGTTCCTTTCTGTAAGCAGATGTATGAAAGCTCTCTTCCTCACCAGGCATTGTGATTATTATCGCCTCCCGTTCTTCTGCAGGTGTTGATGGTGGCTTTGGTGGATCGAAATTATCCTGGATTGCGAGTAAACGAGACTTATGGTTGGGGTCGGATGATAGACCAAAACAGCTCGAAGCGCCAATTCTTCGAAAGCCAAGGGAACGATGAAATGATTTAGCGGAATCGAAAGCTCGAGAGTTGATCTCACGCCGTTCGACTTCAGATTTACCTTCACACTGAGGTTCGACGTCATGGCGAAGACAACCAGGCATCGAAATTGTGTGGATTTTTGCACGACGCTCTCTTTCCTTATTTCGTCCAAACCAGAACATTTCCTCAAAAATGGTGTCTTCCGGTGTGCTAGAAGGGGATGGCTTGTGTAGTCCTTCTGCCTTCTTGACGAGGTCACCAACCATGGCTCGACCCAATCCCTTTCGTCTGTATTCTCTTTCAGTCACCTCAATATGCTCCATTATAAATAGTGAGCCGAAATCCAACTCGCTTCCCCATACACCTGTACCCTTTTGCACACAATGATTTTTGAGGTGATCATTGAGGTATCCATAACGGTCGAAGAGCTCGAATGCAACCAAAGACAACTCTCTGCTTGGGGCTTCCATCTCGCTCCAGAAGTGTTCTCTAATTTTTTCCCGGCAGATAAATTGACCGAAGGCATGGCCAATTCGTTTGCCATCGACAGTGCAGTGAACATGAATCATGTGAAGCCAATCTGCAAACTCTTCATATTTCGTCACAAAGAGTCTTAATTTGACTACTTGATCCGTACCATCCTTCTGGATAGTAATTTCGTGCTCCTCAACTCCATACTCACGAACCTCCGAATCTTCATCTTCATTTTCATACGAGCATTCATCTTCAAATCTACCATTCTCGCCATCAAACCCATCCTCTGAGAGTTCTTCAGACGTTCCAACATTTGATTCTTCGGCATCAGAAACAGTAGGCTGATGATAGTTGTGATCCACATCGACCTCGCTTCCATTTGTGGCAACTGCGAGAAAACTTAGTATTTAAGAGCTGTTTGAATCTTTACAATCCAACTTACTCAAGTCATCAGATACTAAGACATTTACATCTTCTATCTTATATTTCTTTGCCACTGTGTTTGTGACTGCGATACCGGTAACAATAGCTGATAGGTCTGTAGACGTATCGATTTCAGCATCAGACTTGTGCTTTCGAGGAACTGCAATCGATGAGTCGGTCATAATGGATATGGATATGGATTTTTCCTTCTTTTTCAAATCATAGAATCCTAAGAATACACTACACCACTTGAGATGAAGTGACAATCTGTTGTTGTTGATAAAAAAGAAAGTTGAGAATTTGAAAGTTCAAAGTTGAAGGCGAAGTGTTTATGCCTCAAGCTTCACTACCAGTACCTTTCCATAATAGGCAAGAACCATATTGAGCACGTGCAAGCAATGATGCGCCCTACGGACCGATTCTCAGTACTACCTAGTAGGTATTTTTTAAGCACATTCATATTCATGTGCATCTATCCAGTCTAAGGCATAATCCGATCTCGTTTTATAACAATAAAGCCCGAGAATTATCATCTTTTCTGAAGCAGAAAATTGGAAACTTATCACTCTGGTTGAGAACCACCCAATGAAGTCACACATGTTCAAACCTCTTGGGGACTCCTTCGCTCAACGGACGTACAGAAGCTGTGGCAGTGAAGCTCATGCTTGAGTACGGAGTACCTATGGCATAGTAATGCGGGTATGTTGCACTTACTGCACCCTTTTAATTCTTTTTTGTTGAAGTTCTTTCAATGATACCCGTGGACATATCGCGTTCTGTACATTGGCAAACATCTGTGGTGGAAGTTTGCTCCAAAATCACGGGACTTGGCGTTGAATCTATACTGTGTCTACCCAGCACAGTGAATTCCATACATGTCTCGTCAAATATTCACTTACTGTGGTGGCGTTCTTTAATCTCTTTCTGCCATGCTTGACAAATTAGCGTTTCATGTTCAAGATACAGTTTCCTGCAACTGTAAAATCCTGAAAAGAACTCTTTCACACTTATCGCATTCAAATTTCAACAAAGTACAACACGTCTCCCATTATCATCAATCATGTCGGATTTTCCGACAAAAGCTCATGGAAAGCGGAAGGCTGGCGGGGAAAACTCTGCTACGCATTTGAAGCCATCTAACATATCCAAGAGAACAAAGATTGATAGTTCAGAGAACACATGTATGTTGCAATTTGATCATCATTGTGTTTTGCGCCGCAGTTCTAACTGACTTGCTTGTCTTATAGTTTCCACAGAAGAAGATGTATCGCCTGTGAACAGCGAGAAAACAATTATAGACCTGACAGCCGAGCACTCTGCTTCACCATTTACTTCCTCGCTGGTGTTAGAGTTGGTCTTTGAAGAGTTTGATGAAGAAACCCACGACGACTTCGATGAATATCGTGAATATGACTACGACTTGGATGACAAATTCAAATACGGGTCTGGTGATGACGATGACGATGACGACTATTCATCCAAAAAGATCGAAACGAAAGTATGCATTTTGAAAGGCATGACAGCGCAATGCATGCTTTCGATCTACGTCACCAAAGATGAACAAGACAATAAATGGCTGGATAACATTCGTGTTGAGTGTCTCTACAAAGGTAATTGGGTTGGCCGTGCTGTTGGTAGTTATATTCATCGGCAAGGAATCAAATCCAATTTCTTGAGCATGATGGAATTACCAAATTATAAGATGGATGAGATAGCCGGCGAACTTTTCGAAAAATTCGGCTGTCTCCATCTTAAGTTCAAGGAGCACGTTATAAAACGAGGTACTGGTGCATGGGGAGCTGAGATGGACGTTGGCCCGTTGTTTTTGTTGGAAAAAATTGAATCTTTAACGAGAGGTTTCGTCGCAAGGGGCTGGGTCGAGCTATGGTCAAGGCACTGATTCAAAAATCACAGGCGCAGGCACATCCTTTTCGGAGACTCCATGCAATCACGAAACCTGATTGGACTCTTGATCATCTTCATAAGGAAGCCTTTGGCAAGTCTAGCCGCCAGCAGCGCGCTATAAAACGTCAACCTCTCGACTCCGCTATCGCATTTTATCGCTCTCTTGGTTTCCGCTGCATTGGCTCTTCAGATTGTTTTGGCTTCTCAGTAGATCCAAAGCACAAGGCCCATTCTATCAATGTCGACGCTGATTATGATCCACCGAGAGTTGACGAGGAACTGGAGATATCTGACGACGAGGATATCGTTGACACTTCATCATTGGACTCTCTCGATAAGGCCGCACAGAAGAGGTCGGCAAAATTGAAGCAAAGATTCCCACTACGGCACGCCATCAGAACGCTGCCTGATGCTGAGCTAGTAGCCTTTTTCAAGAGCTTTGACAACAAGAATGGTAGTGGATGGAAGGAGATTAACTGTCACCACAACAATGCGCTACACCAAGCAGGATGTGCATATAAAGTCTACGCTACAAAATGGTTGATAAAGAATATTGATCCGAAGCAAGAATTGGCACAGGCTCGAAACATCGAGGGGCTGACTCCGCTAGAGGCCTTGCAGGACGAATTCGATATCTTTGACAAGCGCGTCGGTATTCCATTCGGAGCTGTCGCTTGTATGTCTTTGTTGAAATACAGATATCTGCCCAGCTCTCCTCTAAACACCCAAGCTCTCAGACTAAAGTATGGGTGTACTTGTGAGGAATGCATTGAAGGTTTCGTGTCACCCCGCATGAAGCTAAAACTTCTTCATTGCGCTGTGACAATTACACAGAGCATCAGTTATGATCCGTCTTTTTTCGGTAGATATTTGTGCAACCCTAGTTTCTCAATCAGCGTTCCCAAGGATCTAATGAAAACCTTTCGGCAAAAAAACCACCAGCCAAGGATCATTAAGTTGTTCGGCCCCATCATTAAGGTGCTAGACTCCAATTGCGTGCCTAGGGTACACAACCTGAAGACTCTTTCTGCAACGTATAAGGATGTCGATGACGATGATCTTAAAGCTGCATTGGCAATGTCAATTGCATATGCTAAAGAGAACTTTTTAGAAAATTGTGATCTCTCATTCTTACACGATCTCGTTGACGAAATAGGGGAAGCGAAGGAATGCACAAATGATTACGAGTTCGAGTTTGTCCATCGGCAGTGCTGTTGGAACCTGTCCAAGAAAGGCTAGTAGCAGGAAATATGGGTGCTAAAGAGACTCTCGGTGCAGAATTACAAGCAAATTTGGATATGTAGCTTCTATGAGCATATTTGACCTTCTCAAGGGGTTCTTCTTGGATGTGGCGTGGGAAATGTTGGGGACTTGTTTTCAGGTGTAGATAGTAAGACTGGAATGACACCACGCTAGGAGTTTCCTAAGTTAGTTAGCATAGCTAGCTAGTTACCCTCTCGTCAATTTCGAGATTAAATGAATATCATCATTTTTCTTACAATAATTCACACAATTTTGTAACTTCACAACTGTATCACATATATCGACATACAGATTCCTCGACAACAAACACAACACAACACACCACGATTTCGCTCCGACTCGCACCCTCCCAATCGTTCACATCACCATAAAACAACCTCACATTATACACCTTCCCCCAACTCTCCCCCTTTCCATTCTCACCCATACCACGTCCCACCTCGGTAGGTAAACACCTCAATCTCCAAGCCTATCTACCCATTAAATTCCCATCGTCCCACGATTTCTCAATCCTGAGTCCTAAAGAGCAATGTCAACCGATAAGCCGATCTCCAATTCGCAAACCATCGCCACCCGATGAATTAAAAAATCACCGCCCACCACACTTTTCAAAACACTTCTTTTCTTCTTTCACCCATAGCATCAATCGACCCCGCTGGTTAGAGCTATGAATCATCCTGCCACTTGGCGATTGTATATAACTAGGTACTTAACCAAAGATACTATTTTGATACAGTTGGTTATTAATTATACATTATTTCCGAACACCCAAGTATCTCACTCGGAATCGGATATCAAATGCTTGTATCCTCCCTCCCCTATTATTCAGCCGAGAGCGACTCGGTTTTAGCTAGTAGTCTAATAATCGAACTCCATTGTCCAAATCAAACTAGAATATCTCACTGTATCATTCATTTGAATCACAGTTGAATCACAACAGCATCTCACACGCGCTCATAATCCCCACAACATCCACGTAACTCAAGGCTCATGATTAATTTGCAATGTTTTTTGATTTCTTCTCTACTCCCCTAACCACTTATCTTATCTATGATAGAACCCTAATCTAATTCTGTTCACGCTGTCACATTCCCAATCCATGCCCACCCAGAAAACTGAATTGCCATGCCAATACCCCTCAATTCATATTCGTCATCCATTCATGATTAAAAGAAAAGGTGAAGAACCCCATGAAGGTTGTCGCCATCAGTTCAAATCGAGCGGATGGACTGAAGATAGTCATAAAAAAGCAGAAAGAAATTAAGGTTTTGCTGTTTATCCCCTCCATTGCCAACTAGCCACACCTTGCAATGACATTTAATCGTTAGAAGCGTAGGCAATTTTCAATGAGAAAAAGAAAATTGTACCTCCGCCGAGTAGTGCAAGAGTCGTTGAGCACAAGAGTAATCTATGAGTACATGTAATTGGTTGAAATATTTGCCCTTCCATAAGATGAATAATAGAAGATAAATATTCATTGACCATAAGAAAAATATCGTTCCGTGTGTGAAGAATGCGATAAAAAGTAGGACCGAAATATTGCCACCAAAGCATAAATAACTTTTCCGGAACCGTACCGTAGCAGAAGAGTTGGACAAGACGCCAAAGTAAAGTGTAGAAAAAGAGTCGTTAATGGTAGAAGAGAGTGGGCAATTAAGCCTTCTCTTCAGCCTTCTCGTCACCCTCCTTGGTCTCACCAGCCTCGCCTTCACCTTCACCTCTGTTCTTAACATACTCATCGTAGACGGTGAGTGCCTCGTCAACCTTGGCGCGGAGAGAAGCATCATCTTCGATACTATGAAATTGTTAGTACGGCGATAGTTGTAGGGCTGAAAGGTCCTTGGTTATTACTTACAGATTGATCAACTCCTGGTTCTCCATCTCCAACAACATTCCGGTAATCTTGCCAGCCAATTCAGGTTGCAAAACTTGGATCTTAGGGAACAAAGCCTCTCCAAGAATTTGCTTCTGTTGCTGAGGAGCAACGGCTTGAACTTGGGCTTGCAACATAGTAGCTGGAACACCACCCTCTTGAGCCATCTGAGGAATTTGTTGCATTCCTGGGATCTGTTGTGGCATACCACGACCAGCTTGTGGAGGGAAGCCACCAGCGAATTGGCCCGGACGTCCAGCTTGAGCACCACGACCAGGCATACCACCTTGTCTAGCACCTTGTTGGAATTGTGGCATTCCTTGTTGACCCATAGGCATGGCCATGTTTGGTGGCATACCTTGCATTGGCCCACGTGCATTTGGTCCGCCACGGCCGGCAGTGAGTTGTGCAGCTTGCATGGCAGCTAAGAATTGTGGGTTGTTTTGTTGAGGATATTGACCGCCAGCAGGGAATTGGCCTGGGCCCATACCGTACATGTTAGGTGGCATTTGTTGACCAGCTGGTGCACCGCGACCAGCTTGTTGTGGTGGGAAACCAGCTTGGAATTGACCAGGTCGGCCTCCTTGGGCACCTGGGATTGGCATGCCAGCTTGGGGTGGGAATTGCATACCACGTCCACCTTGGGGAAGGAAGCCTGGTTGTTGAGCCCCTGGAGGGAAGAACATTGGAGCTTGCATGTATTGTTGAGGCATACCAGCTTGAGCAGCGGCTTGCTGCATGCGGATTTGGTTACGAGCTTGAATGCTGGCTTCCAATTGACTCTTACGGACATCCTTGCGCTGAGCAAGAGCGACGTAAAGTGGCTTGTTGTTGACCATGCGCTGGTTCATATCAGAGACGGCCTTGGTAGCCTCATCTGGGTTGTTGAAGCAAACGAAACCGAATCCCTTGCTCTTACCCAAAGAGCGCTTTGCCTTTGGTGCAGAGGCCTCTTCAGTTTCAGCCTCGCCCTCCTTCTTGGTCTCCTTAACGTCCTTGTTCTCTTTGTTCTTCTCATCGTCCTTCTCCTTCTTCTCCTCAGCTTCGGCGGTCTCAGCAGGGGTATCACGCATGACCTTAGCGGAGGTAATGGAACCGAATGATTGGAACAACTCTCGGAGCTTCTCATCATCAATGTCATCATCTAAGTTCTTGACGTAGAGGTTGACACCTTGATATTTGGAAGCCTTCTCAATGCGAGCAGCTTCGTATGAACGGCGGAGCTCTTCCTCACGTTCATGCTTCTTCTGTGCACGGCCGACGTAGAGATCTTGACCCTTGAAGTCTTTGCCGTTAAGCTCATCAACAGCAGTAGCGGCATGCTCATGGTTGATGAAGTTGACGAAACCAAAGCCACGGCTCTTGCCGGATTCAGCATCGCGGGCAAGGGAAGCTGAGGTAACATCACCGAACTTCTCGAACAACTCACGGAACTCCTCCTCGGTGGCTTCAACTGGGATGTTCTTGACGTAGATGTTGGTGAAGTTCGCCTTCATCTCCTCAAACTTGCTTTGACGGTCCTTCTTAGGAATGTGATGGCCAACGAAGACCTTCTTCTCGTTCAAAAGCATACCATTGACGTGCTTGATGGCTTGAGCGGCTGCCTCATCTGTCTCGTAGTGAACGAAACCATAACCCTTGGAAGCTCCAGACTCGTCTTGGGCAACCTTGCAACTCAAAATGTTTCCGAAAGCAGCAAATGTATCGTGGAGAGCCTTGTTGTCAATGGCAACATCCAAATTCTTGATGAAAACGTTTCCTTGACCGTTCTTTCGGAGAGCTGGATCACGTTGGGACCACATGATTCTGCATGGGCGGCCCTTGATCAAAGTGTAGTTGAGCTCTTCGAGAGCCTTCTCACCATCGGCGGTGGTGTTGTAGTTGACGTAGGCATATCCGAGGGATCGGCGAGAAATAGCATCACGGCAAACACGAATGGAAGCAACGGAGCCAATTTGGGAGAAGAGTTCGAAAAGCATAGCTTCGGTGACGGATGTGTCAAGTTCACCGACGTAGAGGGAAGCCGAAGCTTGTGGGTGAGGGGCATTGGTGGGGGTAGGACCTGCGGCGTCTTGGTCTTCAGAGTTGACGTTGGAAACATCGGTGTTGAGGGTAGCGGCGCCATTTGCATCTCCATTCAAGGAAGCATTGTTAAGGTCAGAGGCGAGCTGGTCGACAGCAGCATTTTGAGTTGCGGCAGACATGTTGACTAAATTTTACTGAAAAATCGAAAAATTAGCCATATGAACAAAAAGTAAATCTTTTTTTCTTTTGAATTGAAATTAATAATGATAAGCCGACAAAGGGAACAATGAGAGAAGGCATAAAGAGAGAGAAAGAGGTATAAAAGTGGCATGGTTACCTTTATGTCGAGATGTGTTGTTCGAAGAGAGGGTCGAGATTTGAGGAGGGGTAGAAATTCGTGAAAATAATTCTGTACAGAACTAAGTATTAAATCGAAATACTGATGTCACACTGCCGTAAGACAGATGCACAATATGACTGACTTTGTGAGGTTGGAGATTTTAAGTTCGGAAGGAAGATGAAGGTATTTCGAAAAGTGGTCGATAGAATAAGTATCGATCGCAATTCTGGGGTTTTCTGTAGTTTGATTTTCAAATTTTTTTGTATCTCTAAAAGAAGAGGGATTTTCTAATTTGAAAAGGGCGAAGAAGAACGAAAAAAGCACGAAGTATTCGTACTTAAACCGCTATTGTAAGATCTTTTCGGTGGGTTGTATTTTTTTTGTGGTTGTAGAAGGAAGGGAAGGAGATTTCTTGAAATCACAATCGCGACAGATAAAACTCAATCTTTTTTCGAAATTTCTGTGCGTAGACTAACTAAGTTCCATTTGGCTTAGCTTGATCACTTGCTGATGGGTAAGTGAAAGAAACCCTCATGTGATTCGCTACAGCTGATTCATCAAGTGAATGATCAAGATGATTATGTAATCTATGGATGTCTAATCTGCAGAACACTAAGTATTAATTGCCGGTTCCTCAAGCGGCCGACCAGTTCCTACCATACTGAAAAGGTTTTGTTATTTATACATTGGTGGTCAATAGAAGTGATTACTCTTGGGTTCCAAGTTGTCAGGGGAGAA